GCACGTGAATGGTGTTTGTATGTGGTGGTAGCCCCAAGTCTCCATTCGTGCATAGGGGTGGTTGCGTCTCGATAGCTATAAGGGTGCGGGAGATATGAGGCTGAAAGTGGTTGAAAGTGGCTTTCTATTTTGAATGTTTTGTTCGAATTTGTTCGAATTAAATTCGAACATAAAATTCGAATATTGGTTGGATTATAGAACGATTGTAAATGTTCCAGAAACGTTGAAAATAGTTCATTTGACTTGACGTGAACAGGAGACGTTCAGAAATAGAATCGGAACCAGGAAGTGTTAATATAAAGCTGCATGCAAGATTTACAGGCGGGTTTTTGCGCTTTTTTGGGAAATCGAACATATTTTTATGCTCATGTAAAAATTCTCTGGAAACGGGAGACCTAATTCTTGCATTTTGTGAAAATGGGTAAGATTGGCTATAATGTAATTATCTTAATCTTCACTATTGTTACTTTTTGCCCACAAACAAAAACCCAGAGAAGCGGGTCCTTGCAGCTAGTATATATATAAAAATGGATGTGTTTGTCCCTATATTTCACTCTGCAGCCAAAAGTACACATTGCACATGAATGGTGTTTGTGTGTGGTATTAGCCCCAAGTCTCCCATCATGCACTATGGAGGTTGCGTCTCGATAGCTATAAGGGTTTGGGAGATATGGAGGTTGAAAGTGGTTGACTTCAAAAATGTGTAACAATGGAAGTGTTGAGTAACAAAGGAAGTTTTAAGAGAAAGTGGTGTGCAAGATTTACAAACGCAGATGTAGTTTTTTGCATTTTTTGAGGGAAATCGGACATATTTTTAGACCCATGTAAAAATTCTCTAATTAGTCTGGAAACGGGGGACGTAATTCTCGCATTCTGTGAAAATGGGTAAGAGTGGCTATAATGTAATCTTAAATGTTTTTGAATAGACGAGGACCGTTATGTGTGAGTAGTGGGGATGGCTTTTGGAGATGTGTGACGCACATGCTTCAGTTGATTTTTCATAAGTAAAAGCGTACAAATAACAGAAAAAGTAGAAAGTAAAAAGTAAAAATATACAAAACAATGCCAAAGTGTAAGAAAGAATTTTTGCGGTCTTGAATCATATCTCAAAAGCAAAAGATGATGTGGAGAAATGTATAAATTTGTATTGTGTACCTTATTACAGTAAGAAAATTATTATTATGTTTTGATGAGTGTATGAATCATATGTATTTAGCATTAATTAATTACTCTAACATGTTAAATAAATTATGAAAATAAATTTGTATGAATGACTTTTTTGCAGTTTTTTTTAATAAACTCAAATCATAATTACATTTAAAGTTTTATAAATAATTTATTTTCAATGCAACATATACAAAGTCGATTATTTATAATATAAAAATGTAAATGAATTATGAAATTTTATTTTCATAATTTATTTTACAAGCTGGAGTAATGCTAAGAGACAAGAGATGACTTCCATCCCATATATCTATAATACCCTGCACTAAAAATACAGAAAAATGTACACTTATAACTCAGTTTATTTATTGTTTCTTTCTTCTTTGAATAAAAAGCAACAATTTTTAAATTAAATTCAAATATACAGATGACAAAAAATCTACAAATTTAATGCAGTGTCTTTACAATTACCTCTAAAAATTAGCTATCATATTAAAAAAAAATGTGTATTGAAAAATGTTTAATTTATTAAATACATAGTTATATGACATTTACTTGCTAAGTTGCTAATATTTAACTTCCTTAAAAAAAACTTAACTTACCATTTTCTTTTTGGCATTTTTCTTGATGTCTTATTTGTTCTAATAAAGTAACTAACATTTCCTGTTCACAACGAGGACACTTCCAATGCTTTTGAAGATATTGTAAATGACTTTGATCAATATCAGATAAACTGTAAGAATATTCAAAATAATTTCATTAAAAATTGTACATTTTATCAAATTCTCCCTAAAACTGGCAATAATAAATAAAAAAAAGTGGTTTATACTTAATTTATTGTATTCAATTATTTAATATTTAACTTTGATCTTAATCACTTTCAGTTAGAGTGAAAAAATAAATTGATTCAACAATAAGAAATCAGTCTTATTCTATCTTAATATTATCATCATATTTACAATGTAACAATTTTATCATTTCTTAAAATTTTAAATATAAAAATATAAACATTAAATATTTTTAGTAACACAACTTTTCCAATTGTTACTAATTACAGTTTGTATATGTAGTCCTCATTTCTGCTTCTTCCTTATTAAAAAATAAATAATCTGCATAAGGAATATTTTTATTTAATTAATAAATTTAGCAATTTGCTGTTTTCAATAATTTGGCCAAAACTGCCTAGCTTTATTAACTGTCTTCTGAAAAATGCATTACTTACTTGGACAGATTACTGGTTACTAATATTTCAATAGGTATCTTACTAATAGTTAGCTATTAGTAAAATACCTATTGCTTAATAATCTAGCTATTCATATGCTGGTTTTTCGAGTCACTTTTATAATAGTTTATTTTGTCCTTTCATTCAACTATACACAATACAAAGAATTTTCCTGGCATTTGTCCCAATCCATTTGCAAAAAACAAACTTGTTTATATAATTATGTTTGTTTGCTGTTTTAATGAGTTTTATTTGTTTTGTTGCATTTTAGTGTACTTTTCTTGTAGCATATGCTGCATTGCATGCATTAATTTAATATAATTAAATTAAATTTAACCATTTTAGGATCTTGAAAATACACAACTCAAATCTATAAAGATTACAAAATAAAAACTTTTATGCTATTATTCTATCATGTTCTCAAAACTGAAAACTAATAAGCTATTTGATACAATAATTTTATTATTTCAATTCAAAATTAAATAATTAAAAAAAGTGTAAAAATAATACTTCTAAATGATTAATTAAAAATATATTTTATAAATAAGATTTAATTACCAATTGTAAGTTAAGTAGTCTCTTAAAATTAGACCACCTTTCACAGGATGTGGAATATTCTCTGTAACATCTTTTAAGATATTTGGATTTATTGCACAGTTACCTAATATTGAATATAACATTTCAAAAATCTTAATCAACATTACATAAGTCACTAGAATTATTATAAATTAAATAAAATACAATATATGTATATTATGTTATTAAAAGATACTTTTGTTTAAGAATATAAATCCAGCAGTCACTAAACAGTTTCTGATAATAAACAAAAAATTTTTTTCAGTTCAAAAAATTTTATGCTTACTTTCTGATGATCCAATATACAATGATTTCAAATCTGCAGAGAGCAATCGTCGAACAGTGAATAATATTTCTATATGAAGAAATTCTTTAATTGATCTTTCCAAATTTGTTCGTTTCTTCTTAATTTCAGGAGTTTCTTCATAATTTTCATCATGTGATTGATTTTCTGAAGGAATAATTATAAATTATGTAAATTTACTTATAAAATAAAATAAAATAACTTACTGGAATATAAATTATATAAATACTTAAAATAATCAAACACCTTAGTATTTCCAGCAACAAAGTATTTAATAAAATAAAAACATTTTCGACTATATTTAATAGTCTTCTTCAGTTAAGCCACTTTAAAACAAAAGGTTTTCATTTTATGCTGTTGCATAAAACGAAATTAGCATAAATGGCACTGTTTTATGCAACAGCATAAAACAGTGCCATTTATGCTAATTTGTAGACTATAAATTAACTGTTATGTGATAATTAATTTCATAAAAAAACTAAAATGATATTTTATAGAAATTTTTCATCTTTAAGTATAATTTTTAATACCTTTAAACATCTTTTCTCTCTAAAAATGAGTTCAATATAGTAATAATCATAATAAATATAGCATTTACAAATCAAATATTTAAAACACATTGCATTACCTTGGGTTTTATTCTGACTACTGATAATTGACGATATTAAGTAATTACCTTTATTATTTTTATATGCATCTTAATATTGTTAATTACTAGTATCCAAAATATACCTAGAATAATCTAGAATTTTAATAATATGATCTGTAATTGATTCAAGCTTGTGCCTTTATAAATGTATATGCTATGTCTAAAGCCTTTAAAATGGTTAGAGCTAGGATTAGCAGCTAATGATGACTATATCCAAGTCAACTTTATTCAACCATTTTTTTCAGCTAAATATTTTGTGAAATAACTTCCAACATTTGTTATTGTTCCCTTCATTTCTGAACAGTAAAGAAATTATACATTCTAATTGATTTAAATAACAAAATTTCTTCTTTATCCAATAAACATTGAAAAAGTGAAACCCTAAATTTTCTCCTCACTTTATCCAAAATTGGACGGATAAAGCCTAAATTTAGTTCTTGCTTCATTATCCACTTTTGGATAAGCTTAATCTGCCTGTGATAAAGCAGATAAAGCACACTTTATACAGATAAGATTCAGAATTAGTAAATTGTTACTTGTTTTAACCAAACTATGGTAAAACCCTGATTATCCAACCCAAATAACTGAAATTTAGCATTATCTAAGACAAACACGAAAGTGAATATAGTACTTTTCTTATACAGTTTTTCATAAAATAAAGTTTAAAACAATAACATGTATTAAAAAAATTATTTGTTTCCATTACATTTTATCATTTAACTTCAATACAATACAAATCATTTATAACTACAATAATATAATTTTTATTCTTAAAACTATTGTACATATTAACTATATAATAAACAATATAAAAAATGTTGTGCTTATACGAGGTCACAAAGGCATAAAAAAAAGCTTAAAAATGATGATCATGTAAATCTTTTATAATCATAATTTTTAATCTGAAATGGAGTGTCTTTCTGTTTTATCCATGTTTTTGATTATCTGAGGTAGCATCAGTCCACCCCAGATAATCACTGCCCTACTATACTCAGGTAAAGTTAGAATTAGCCAGTTAATCCTAGCTTTATCACAGGCTTTAGTCATAGCATATATAGTTATAAAATTTAGAAAAAAAATCAATCAGTAAAATGTAATACAAAAATAATAATAACTAAATTTTTAAAAATTTTATTGAGGTATTAGTAAATAGCAAAGCTTTTGATGCACCTTATAATGAATATAAGGGGTACAATTATTAATATAATGTCATTTACTATTAGCTGTATCAAATTCTTACAATTATATAGTATGTAAATAATGTCTATATATAATCAAGTAGGCATTAAACAAGGTATCCAAAAAGTTATTGTGCATTGAAAAAAGTTTATATACAGTTTTAATAAAGTGAAATTGTACATATGGTATTGCAGTTTCTCCTACAGAAAATACTGGAATGTCCTCCAGGGATCCCAAAATCTAGAGGAAGTGAGGTCCAGAACTTTAGTAGGACTCCACAGGAGATTAGGCTATCAGCAAAGAAGCCTTCCAAAAACTATAGTCCAAAAACCAGAAAATCTGTAAGCAAGCAGTAATGCCATATACTTCAAAGTGGAAATGCAGAAAATACAACTTACAGGTGTTGTATAACTTTATTGTCATTACAAATTTCTCACTGTACAGTAACTTTCTGGACATCCTGTATAAATATGCACAGTTAAAGCAGATGTAATCTGATTCAATTCAAATTTTACATATCAATTTCATTTTCAATTAGCAAAATTTTCTATATATATAACTTTAATCTAAAAATTAAGAATCTTATTATAATATTTATTTATTAATTTCATTTTAAATAAATATCTGTAAAAATAGTTTATCATTAAAAAACATATAATTATTAACAAATTCTTAAACTGTTTTTAAAATACCAAAATTTTACAATAATTTGCTTAAATTAAGAATTAAAAATTATTTTATTTATATAATAATTTTTACTAACCCATTAATTTCTGTTGAAGAAGATCTTGCCACATGTCACGAAGTTTGATACTGCATAATAAAAAATTCTGAGCTTCTTCGGCATCAGGAAATCTTAGTTCTAACCAGGAATCAGCAATTACTCTAAAATACAAAAAATAATGAATCAAATGAAAATTTTAAAATACTTTTATTCATTTTTTTACTTAACAAATTTTAGACATATGATATAATTTTTTTCAAAGTATTCAGCTTTCATATTCAGAATCTATTTTTAAATTTCATTAATATATAAATTAGAATAAATTTTCTTTCTAATACATGCCAGTGTTTATTTTATCTTAATTTATTCATTCTTGTCCAGCTCACTCTGTAGTATTAAAACTTTCACCTTTATGCTGAAAATTTTATTTATAATTGTCACAAAACATTTTTTGGCCTTATTAATAAGCCATCATCAAGTGTTGTATCTTTGGAATTTGAGTTATTCTAAAATGAAAGATACCTGACAATAGTTCATAAATAGGGCTGGAAAAAGTTTTTGATGATTGTAAATAAAATTTCCAGCATAAAGGTGAAAGTTTTGGTTTATTTTATCTTCTGAACAATGTCTACTTATTTATTAAATGTTAATCACTTTGTTTTCTAGCATATCTTATCAAAATGAATTTGTGAAATGATGAATGATATATGAACTAATATGAGAGAGATACTTCACTCATTGAAATGATAAATTTAACCTCTGAAATAACTGCTATGACCTAAATCCTGTAGGATTCTTGTGTAATCATCTTTTTTCCTCTATAATCACAAGTCATTTGTAATACTAGTTATGTGTTTTTATTACTACTGTCAATAAAATTTTAGAGAAATTTTTCAATTTACTAATTTATTCAAATGTCTAATGCAGTAATAAGCAGGTATTACCTTAATGCTGTAGTTCTCAAATGTTTTTAAGAGACAATACCCTATTTTGTAAAAAATCTTGTAATCTCTACATTTTTCTTAAGATGTATTTTATTCTAATAAAACTAAGATTTTTTTTATGGCTTTTTGATAATTCACAATTATATTTCAAACAAAACAAAAATAAAACAGCTTACAAAGATATGCTGAATAATATCAAGTTTTGATGTTGTAATGCTTATGTTGTAATCATAAGTACAATAATAATTTAGTTTGTTATAATTTTAACGGAATAAACATGATAATTGAAGTGTTTTGTAATGCTACATTGGATAGAATATCAAGTACAGTACATGTGAAAGTTTTATTTGAACTGAAAGTATTTTAAATAAACAAACTACATTAATAATTTCTTCACAACCTCTTGGAAAGAGTCTCAAACCACACAGTTTGAGAACCATTGCCTTAATTTATTATCTTTATACAATGATTTGATATTATATAAGTTTTAAATTTTTATATGTAGCCAATGAAAATTGTTTTCATTTATGCAAAGCTTTAGCAGTTATCTTTGCATTCATGGATTATCATTGAAAATACAATATTGTCAAATCTTACAATAATGAGAACATACTAACTTATGACTACAGATTAATATATTACTTTCAGGTTTTTATCATGTTTATTTATTGCTCTATGACTTATTTCAGCTTATATTCAACATGCATTTTGGAGCAATAAATAATGAAATAAACTTATATAAATATCTGGATGAATAAAAATAGTTAGGTGAGGTTCTATTATGCATTTAGAAGTGTGAAGAAATATATCCTTGCAGTTTCCATGGAGTATGAAAGAAATAATTAATTTTTCACACCAGATTCTATCAGATAAAAGTTTAAGTTTAAGTATCAGCATTAATAATAAGGTTTTGATGAGTAAAAAACACAAAATAAATGCAAAACATTTTGCAAGCACTTTCGACTGTCTTATTCAAACAAAACAAAAACAGGTGAGGTCTATTATACAGTAAATATGTAATCCTGATAATTCTGAACAAAATGTGTAAGTTTATAAACATTATTCTTTTATAGTCAATATATATAAAAATCATTTTTAATAGTCAAACAATATTTAACAACTATTACTCATATATAGGAAAATCTGTGAAAGCCAGAATTGCAAAGGACTTTCCAGCTTAACCAAGATTTTCCACTTTAAGTAAACTGAAAGAAAAAATGGTTACTATTTCAAAATAATAAACATATTTATAAAATTTAAAATGAAGCATAATACTGTATTTGCTATATATTTATTGAAATTAACTCAAAATAAAAGGAAAAATATGTAGAAAGTAAAATACACAAACATAAATGTAAATATTCTTAACTATAAATTATATTTTTAATATCAATAATTTGTTTTATTTTATGAAACTGTGTCTTTTTCCGTATTTCTGACTTATTAAACACTAGTTTTATAGTGTATTTCAAAGATACAGGCAAGTTTTTCATCAATTATCTTTATTTAGTTGAGTTGATAAAGTACATCTTTTTTGTACATGTTTCAGGCTATGCCCCTCCTCAGTCATCTATAATATAATGCATATTGTTTATTTATTACAGTAGGGAGAACATACATAAAAATGAATGAGTACATAAACCTTAAAATTGTACTTTTTTAAAATTGTAATGTGTAATTGTCTATCCACAAAAGGACTTAAAATAGTTAGTTAAAAATCAGATTTTACAAGATTTTAATTTATACAACGTGTAACCTAAAGGTATGTCTATATATGGGGGATAAATAAACAATATGCATTATATTATAGTTGAATGAGGAGGAGCATAGCCTGAAATGCATACAGAAAAGATGTACTGTATCAACTCAACTAAATAAAGATAATTGATGAAAAACTTGCTCTTCAAAATACACTATAAAACTAGTGTTTAATAAGTCAGATCAGTAATTTGATTTTATACATATTTTTATGTCTGGTACTTTAATTCAACAGACATTTAAATTTCCTTCTATGATTTATTATAACTAATATAAGTTAATAACAGAGATATAATACACATGTTTCCATTCAGGCTCACAGGTTATGCCTTAGATATTTTATAGTGAAAACTTGATGGTAAATGCCAAAAAATTTTCAAGTTTCTGGTTTTCACTTGTTTAGTGTTAAAAAGGTTTGTCTTTACATCACACTAATAACATCATACAGTACATTACATTATGCTGTAATCATACTTCTTACATCACAAATACTTATATAAAAACAAATTTAATATAAATAATATTCTTAAAACAAAGAAATAAATAATATTTACAATTCAAACCAAAGATATTTAGGCATTAATATTTAAAATGTTAATTACGATTTTAATATCAGATAAAATTAAGTAAGTGTAACTAATATTTACAAGAGTAGCTTACTTAGTGAAGTCATGATTAGTATCCAATGAATGTGCCAATAATAAAAGAGTATGAGCTGCTGGAATTCGTACACAATTCACTAAATATGGTTTTGTTGTCTCTAAGAAAGATCTGTGTAAAATAATAAAATTCAGTTTATTTCATTTCAATTTTATTATTCAAATATTAACTAAAATTCATTGTAACTTATTAGATAAAATCAAACATTTTATAAAGAATTCTGCTTAGTTTTATAAAATAATTTATAAAATTTTTTAAATCAATTAGTAAATTTATATTTTATATTCTTATAAATTTATGGAAATAATATTTATATACAATATTTTTATATTACAAAAATTCTATAAATATAACAATACAAAATAGTCTGTTTAAGTGTTTTTTTAAATTAATTTGAAACGTGATTTTGTCATTGATAATTAGCTACCTATTCCCATTTTTCATCTCAGTAATTAAACTGGAAACATATATAAAAAATGTTGTGTACTATCCAAATACTGTGCTTAAAATTAAAAACTGCCAATACATTTTTACAGTTTAACTTTTCATTTTGTTAAATATACTTAAATAAATTTATTCCATAAAAAAATCTAAAGTTATTTAATATTAATCATAGAAATTTAACATATTAAAAATCTTACACGAAAGCAATCAACTGATGTTTGATACTTAATGGAATCTGTGAATGAAATCCATGGATTTGTTGAATATCTAACTCACTTAAATGAAGTATATCCGGCTGAAGAGCAAATACTCCATTTGGATGTAAACACACAAATGATTTTTCCTGTAAAAATAAAATAATTATTTACTCTATGTATTTAGTTATATAAAATATTTTATATATAAAAATATTTAATTTATTATTTTCAAAACAGAATGAATCAAAATATCTATTTTTAAGAATAATTTTTAAAATTCACTAAACAATTAAAAAGCAATTTGTTTTCTAGGTAATATTCAACTTAAATATACACTGGACTGAAGATGTAGTTAACTCTCAAAGGATTGAACTAAATCATTCATTATAAACATAAAGAATAATAACACCAATAAAACTGCTCACTATATCAAGAGTCCATTATATCTGACTATATCATTAAACTACTATCTTTTCAAATTTCTAAAGGTTTAACTAACAGTCATTTGAAATATATTTTTATTTGCTTTTATTATATTTATAACTTTTATGATGATTTCTGCAAGTAAAAACTTTAAAGTAATACTTAGCTCTGTTTTCAACTCCTTCACTATCAAGTAAATACTAAAACATGTTTTTTTAATTAGTCAAAAAAATTATAATTTATTTTTTGATTAATTGTCAAATTTAAAAATGTCAAAATGTTATTTTAACATGATATATATATTTTTATATAAGAAAAATATTCTTGACTGGCATTTTGTATGAACTATTGGTATCAGCCAAAAGCATCAATTGGTAAAATCAGCCTCCACATCCCAACGATAAATGTATAAATACAATACAAACTTATTGTAATATTTAACATAGAAAATCACTCTGTTCCAAAAATTTTTTGGTTTAGGAAGGTTTCTGTTATGTTTAGCTTCCATTTTAGATAAGTTCTACTGTAAAAATTTGATGTAAATAGGTAATAGTACAAAATCTGTAGAAGCACAAAACAACATAATATATGATTTAATAGAGATCCTTTGTTAATTAATGCTTACTGTCCTTTATTTAATTATTATTAATTTACTGCAAAGGTGCAAATAAAGTTTTCTTTAAACCTACAGACTAATAAAATATCTTATATTTGAAAACAGAGGTCAGTGCAATAAGTCCTATTAATAGATTACAGTCATAGTGAACTAATAGTAATAAATAATACAGATCCTGTACACTAATCTACAATCAATTCATTTAAATTAATCAATCTAAATAATTTAATCATTAAAATTAACAGAAATAATATGCATATATATATAATATCATTCAAACCCATTAAAAGCAATTTACTCTATTCAAATATTTAATAAAACAAATGTTAATTAATCATTGAAAAGCTGGAGATTTTTGTTATAAATTGCAATAATTGATTAATTTGATACTATAAATATATCTTTATATNTAGAACGATTGTAAACGTTCCAGAAACGTTGAAAATAGTTCGTTTGACTAAATGTAAAAATTCTCTAATTAGTCTGGAAACGGGGGACCTAATTCTTGCATTCTGTAAAAACGGATAAGATTAGCTATAATGTAATTATCTTAATCTTCACTATCGTTACTTTTTGCCCAGCAAAGCGGGTCCTTGCAGCTAGATTCTAGATTACTTAGAAAAACAGTCTTTTATATTAGTCTTTTATATATATAAAAAAAACTATATTACATACAAATAAAAACCCAGCAAAGCAGGTCCTTGCAGCTAGTATATATATATATATATTTATAGTATAAATTGCAATAATTGATTAATTTGATACTATAAATATATATATATTCTATATACATGCTTTTAGAAGATTAAAGCATTTATATTAAAAAATTTTATAGCTCAAATATCATTCAACCCATTCATCTATTCTTTCATGGAGTGTATTAGAAAATTATATGCTAATGAAATAAAATATATAATTTTTTTAAATGCTATAATTATTTGGCATTATTTAATTGAATATTTAAAATTTTAAGTAAAAGATTTACTATTAGATGTTTCTTTACCTTAGTATGAAATAGCTGTTCAGAATCAGTTTTATATGAATTATGTTCATCAGATAGTGCTAGCTGAGGATACAAACCACTGCATAGAATTAATTTTAATAATAGAAAATCTTTGTAACTGTATGTCTGACTTGATTCCATTAAATCCTAGAATAATTAAATTTCAAATAATTAATATATTGAAAAATTTTTAGATATAATTTATTAAACTGAAGTAATAATAGATTATTTAATAAATGATTGCATGTTATTATAGTACATACCTTAATTTGTAATTTGTCATTTGATATCTGAAATTCTATATCTTTAATATCAATTTCATCATTATCATCATTTTCATTTTCTATAACAAATTCACTATCTAATTTTAACATTTTGGAAGATCTTGGTGCATGATGAAAACTGCGTTTTAAATCTTTTAAATGCTTTAGTTCTCCATGCCTATAAGCCCGCTGAGTACTTGTGCTCATTCTTTTTCTATTTACAATCAATCCCGAATCCTAAAAAGTAAATATTTTTGTAATTGCCTATCATTTTAAGAAATTTAAAATATGAAATGTTTCAAATTTTATCAGAAAAACAACTTTTCATCAAATATTCTGGAATACTTTCAATTTCATTTTTTAGCTTAATATGAATCATAATTAATATAAAATTTTATTTTATCATATAAAGAAATTAATATTTTGAAGTTATAATTTCAGTTGCTTTGAAATATAGCATTAATTAACTTGGCATAAATTGTTTAAATAATCATTTCTATTAAATTTTTTATGAGTTTTTAAAAACTGAATTCTAATCTAAAGCACTCAACAAAATAATAGGATTTAACACTTACAAAATAAAATAAGTTTTTTTATTTTTGCATTCCACTATTGGATATAATTTATTGAGATATTTAATAAAGCAATGGACTGAAACTATTAAATAATTCAAATTATATAAAACAGCAATATATAACTGTTAAAATCTATCTTACAAATTTGTTATTATTACATAAGAATATTAATATAACAAAATATAGAAAATATTACAAATATAAAAGTTACAAAGATATTTATTTAATTGTGAATTACATGTATGTATATAATTTATGGATCAAGTAAAAATTTTTTATGTCCATGTTGCAATTTATTAATGCAAGAAAATAACCCTGAAAAATATAATAAAATTTGTTGGCAAGTCTTGCACTGATAGACTGGAGTGCAAAATATCTTGCACTATTCCAACAAAAAAAATATTTACAATTCTTTGATATAGTTAACAAATATATATATAAACATCTTTGATGTATTATTATTATTATTATTAATCTTTTCTTAAGAAAAAGAATATACTCCACTTATTTAGTATCAGAAAAAAATTAAATGTTGGGTCAAAAGTTTGAGTCAAAGAAGTTATATAAAATTTTAGATATTAAAACACAAACTTTAAAAATATCAATAATTGAAAATGTAAAATGAAAATAAACAAAACAAAGAAATTAGATAATTACTGAAAATTCCATAATCCTGCATCTGCAGGTATATAGAAACTCTTCTGGTAATTCATTGATCAAAAACAGTTTAATTATATTTATTTTGGGTTGATTACATACAATAATAGATGCATTTCAGGTTGTAAAATGTAAGTTGGCCCAGTTATCTCCATTGTGTGCCAGGTTCAAAGAAAAAGTTTTTTCAATTAAAACAAAAACAACTATATAAGAAAAATTAAGAAATAATATAAACAGTCAACACAGCTACACAAAAAATAAGTTTGAAGAACAACATGGTTTCCACTTCTTTACTGTATTAAAAATTAAGAACTTATAAAGGACCTTTAAGGACACTGGAAAAATTTTTAGACACTTAAATCCTTAAAGTCTGAAAGTAAGGAATCAATATACCCAAAGAATTGGGTGTAATGAGTCTTTTTAACCTTTAAGAATAGTTCTAAGGCATATTGAACAGTTGACTATGCATAGCATTTTATGTCACAATTACAGAAGAAATAAGCATAAATAAAGTTTATTACTACTCAGTATTTAACAAATAAGTGAAATATTTCATACTATAAAATTCATTTTTGTCAGGTTCATGATTAATTTATTCATTATTTATGAAAGAAATTATTACTTTGATTAAAAAAATTGTAAAATTTTATTATTATTAAACATATCTTTACAGGTAATAGTTAATGTCTAAATCAGCTTAAAATTTTCTTCTGTAATAAAACAGACAGTCCTTGACTTATGTAAAGGGATCATTCCATAATTCCTTAATAAAATAAAAGCTAAATGTTTACACCTTACACTCACAAGAAGTAATACCTGCTGAGTCACATAACAGATCATACTAAAAGATGATTGCATAATAATTAGTATCAAAATATCAGTAAATCTATATATATATACATATATATATATATATATATATATTTAGG